CATTTTTTAAAAGCCACTGGGTCCAGGACTCAAAACCACACAGTCGGCCGTGTAGGATCCAGCCACCTTAACCTCTGCACCATCTGCTATCCCCCCAATTTTTTTAATAGTATTTAAAAACATAGAGACCAGAGCCAGTCCCAGAGCACAGCAATCAAGTTTCATGCATAGGGAGCTAGAGCCCACAGGGCCAACTGTGGACTGAACTCTGGCCCCAGCAGCCTGAAAAATATGCCTGGCACATGTGCTCACATGCTCAAAAATGTAACAGGATGGAGAGATGTGAAAAGAAAAAGAAGTATAGCGTGACCATGCCCCATTAGGGCATGTTCTCTCCGGTGCCCTCTGGCAACTCAAAATGAACGGGGCCGGCTGATGGTGTGGTGGCCAAGGCAGCTGGATCCTGCATGGCTGGCTGTGCAGTTCACGTCTCAGATACAGTGGCTTGAGAAACATGCCAACATGCCCGGCACAGGGCATGTATGCCTGAGACCCTGAGAGGAGAATGGAGAAGGGACTGCGGCAGCCATGCCCCTGCAGGAGTGCTTTCTCACATTCTCTCTCTGGTGAGCGCAAGCACCCTGTAACAAAAACTGAAAACGAACCCACAACACAGACAGGCCAACTCTGCAACACAGTGGTTAAGCCCTGTGCATTGGGACCAGATCTCACAGGGCCAACTTAGATTTACCACAGAAGAGTAAAAAACACATTCACGGGCCGGCAGGTGGCATGGTGGTTAAGGACGCTGGACTCCCACCTGGCTGACTGTGGTATGAGTCCTGGACCTGGCACCTTGCTTTCTCACTTTCTCTCTCTCTTGCTCTGTCCCTCTCTGGTCAAATTAAAAATAAATAAAGTTAAATAATTTTTTAAATAAATAAATAACACATTCAGAGGGTCAGCAGGTAGTGTAGTAGTTACATCACTGGATTCCCACATGACCGGCTGCAGTTCGAGTCGTAGACTTGGTGGTTTGATACTCATGCCAGGCATGTGTGCATGTATGCCCAAGAACCCAGGAGGACAGTGGAAGAGAAGGGATTATGATGTGGCCATCCCCCTTGGAAAGTGATTTCTCACTTTCCCTCTCACTCTCTGTCCCTCTCTCTCTCCCTGGCAAGTACATGCACCCTATAGCAAAAGTCTCTAAAAAAAGTAAAATGCAAACACACACACACACACACACACACATACACTCAGGGGGCCAGCAGGTGGCATAGTGGTTACAGTGCTAGATTCCCACATGGTAGACCACGGTATGAGTCCTGAACGTGGTGGCTGGAAAAAAATCACACCAGAGCTTACCACGTATGCCCAAAATCCCAGGAGGAGAATGGAGGAAGAGGAATTGCAGCCTAGTCATCCACCCCAGGTGATGATTTCTCACTTTACCTCTCATTGTCTCTCTCTGGTGAGTGCACACACACCCTATGGCAAAAGAAAAAACACACATTCGGTGTGTGTGGATGTGTGCCCAAAATCCTAATGGGAAGGAAAATTAAGGGAAAAGCATTGTGACATGACCACACCACTTTGAGAAGTGCTCTCTCTCTCTCTCTCTGTCTCTCGCTCTCTCACAATTAAAAACAAACAAAACACACAGGGGCCAGAGGGTGGGTCAGGTGTAAATCAAAATGCTCTGCAAGACAGACCCACATGGAAAGCCTCCAGGTTCATATTAAAAGTACAGATTCAGGACCAGCAGTCAGCGTAATGGCTATGTTGCTGGACTCCCACGGAGTCAACCACGGGTCATGTCCCGGACCCAGTGGCTTAACACTCAACTGGCGCATGTGCGTGCATGCCCAAGAATCCGAGAGGAGAATGGAGGAAAAGGGATTGCGGCGTGGCCATCCCCCCTGGGGTGATTTCTCGCTTTCTGTCTCTTTGTCTCTCTGTCTGGCGAGCACACGTGCCCTATAGCAAAAAACCTCTCTAAAAAAAAAAAAAGTACAGATTCGCCAAGTAATCAAGACACATATGCACGCAGTTCAGAGCTTCGACCCATGTATACCTTAAACAGACCAGATTCCTAAAACCATGACCAGCAAGGAAAGGGGAGCAGGGAAAGGGAACTAACCAAGAATCTTCCCAGGTACAGAGAAATAAGTCATAAAAAATAATGATTTTTCTTTTTTTATTGAGAGGGTTCATCCACTCCCATGAAGAGAAAGCGAAAGCACTTCCCATAGGGGAGGTCATGCCACAACCCTTTTTCCTCCACTTGTCTACCTCTGTAGGATTTTGGGCCCTCATATGATAGCTGGCATGCTTTTCAAACCTGAAGGTGAGGGATTTGAACAACAGTTGGCTATATGGGATCTGGCTCCCTATACACTGCAGCTAATCACTACGGGGCAGGCCTCATTTTTCAAAATAACAAATGACTAGCATTTTTAGTAGAAAGAGATGAGATGAAGTTTTTTGTTTTGTTTTCATTTAAAAATCAAACTTCTTGGGGCTGGCAAGTGGTGGGGTGATTAAGGCACTGGACTCCCACATGGCCAACTGCGGTTTGAGTCCTGGGCCTGGTGGCTTGCTGTCTCACTTTCCCTTTCTCTTTCTGTCTCTCTCTAGTCAAATTTAAAAATTAATTAATTAACTAATTAATTAATTAATTTTTAAATATTTCTTTTTTTTTTGAGAAGCTTTTCTTGCTATAGGGTATGTATGCTCGCCAAAAAGACAGAGAGAGAGAGAGAGACACAAAGTGAGAAATCACTTGCTTTCTGTCTCTTCAATCAATCTTCTCCCTCAACAATCCTTTCTTTTTTTTTTGGAGAGGTTTTCGCGATAGGGCGCGTGCGCTCGCCAGACAGACAGAGAGAGACATAGAGACAGAAAGCGAGAAATCACCCTCCAGGGGGGATGGTCACGCCGCAATCCCTTCTCCTCCATTCTCCTCTCGGGATCTTGGGCATGCACGCACACGCGCCCGGCGTGAGATTTAAGCCACCGGGTCCGAGACGCGAACCGCGGTCGACTACGTGGGAGTCCAGCGACATAGCCATTACGCTAACTGCTGGTTCCCAACAATCCTTTCTTAAAAGAATTATTTTATTTAATTTTATTCATTGCCATTATTATTTTATTCTTTTGAAATTGACCGGCAAGAGAGGAGAAAAATGAGAAAGCAAGCTGCCAGGTCCAGGACTTGAACTATGGTCATCATGTACAAGTCCAACTGCCCTAACCACCATGCCACCTACCAGCCCCAATAAATAATTCTCCTTAGTTTTTTATTTAATTCCATTTGTTATTATTATTTTCCAATTTAACCAGACAGAGACAAAGAGAGAGAGATAAAGGGAAAGCGAGAAAGCAAGCTACCAGGTCTGGGACTCCAATAGCAGTTGGCCATGTGGGAATCCAGCGCCTTTATCTATGTCACCTGCCGGCCTCCCAATAAATAATTCTTAAAAAAAAAATCAAACTTCTCAGGCCGGCAGGTGGTGTGGTGATTAAGTCACTGAATTCTCACATGGCTGACCACTGAGTTTTAAACCTGGCGGCTTGCTTTCTCTCTCTTCTCTCTCTATGGTGAGCACATGTGCCCAACAACAAATAAAAAAAAAATCATTAAAATAATAAATTAAAGAGACCAGCAGTTAGCATAATGTAGCGTAACGTCTGTGTTGCTGGACTCCCACGTAGTTGACTGCGGTTCAAGTCTCTGACCTGGCAGCTTAAACTCACACTGGGCATGTGTGCGTGTGTGCCCAAGATCCCAAGAGGAGAATGGAGGAGAAGGGATTGCCGCATGGCAATCTCCCCTGGGAGTGATTTCTCGCTTTCTATCTCTCTGTCTCTCTCTGTCTTTCTGGTGAGCACACACGCCCTATAGCGAAAAACTCTCAAAAAAAAAAAAAATTTATTTATTAAAAAAAAAAAAAAATTAAAAAAACATTTTTTTAAATTAAACTTCTTGGACCAGCCAGGGATGTGGTAGTTATGGTGACAAGATCCCGCAGAGCCAGCTGCATGGTTTGAGTCTCAGATCCAGTGGCTTGAAAAACATGCTATGCATGTGTGCATGCACAAAGTCCTCACAGGAGAAATGAAGAAGGGTTTGTGATGTGGCCATCCCCCAGGCTGGAGGTGGTGGGTAGGGGTAGTGGTGCTTTCTCTCTTTTTCTCTCCAGCAAACACATGCACCCTACAGCTAAATTTTCTAAAAAGAAAAAAGAAATTATAGAGATGTGTTCACATGGAGGATGAAATAAAAAATCCAAGCTCATTCATTTCTCAGGTTAAAAAAGGGAAGGGCTTAAGAAATTATTTTCAGTCTACAAAAACCACAAGACCAGTATGTTTAGCCTAATACACAGGTCCTTTTCTCACCTTAGATTAAAATTTTATTCTTGCCTCACTAAGCAGCTGTTTCTAACTTTCAGGTATTGTAATGTGAAGCCTTAAGTGCTCATTAAAAATTCTAAGAGAGTATTCCCAAATCACCACATTATACTATACTCACTTTGGTGGGATCTCTACAACACAAATTATTTATTTCACAGTAAAACATAAAAGGTGCTCATTGTGACACATAAAATACATGATTCCTTTGCAACCAATTTATGCAGGTGACATTTGTGTATAGGAAAGTGGATGAATGCTGTGTGTGTGTGTGTGTGTGTGTGTGTGTGTGTGAAGACAAAAATAGAAGGTTCAAATTTTCTACCCAAAGGTAACAAGTACTAGAAACTTTTGGAAAATAAGCATACATCTCTCTATAATGTCTTATAACTATCGACATGGTTTCTGGAGAATTGAAGGGAAGAAGACATGAACAGCAGATTACAATGAAAGTTAGTGTGCATTTTCCTAAGAACATAAAAGATAATCAGTACAAGATTTCTTCTTTTAAAACAACTCCTTATTGCTTTTAATTTAGCAGAGCACAAATTCATAATTCTAGTGATAGAGCCCACTCTTAATGAGAAAACATAATCTTTAAACTATAAACAAACTCTATTTGGAACTTTTTCTAACCCAAAAAGGGAAGATTATAAACAAATGCCGAACACTGCTTAGAAGTCTGGTAGAAAGTAAATCTTATACATGATTCACGTAATACTCTTAATTATTTTTCAGTAAGCACATATATTGTACTACCTTCAGGCATAAACTAAAAAAATAAATAAATAAACCCTCAAAATTATCATTAATTACAACATCTAATTTCTCTTGTTAAGGCAGATGATAAAACTAACTAGTAAAGTCAGGAATTGTTGTATAAGGTTACAAACCAAACCAATGAGTACCATGAATTCAAGCATGAATTTTGAGGGGGGAAAAAGATAGTTTAAAGAATTCCAACAGGTTATGAAATAAAGTTTAAAAACTACTCAAACATAATTTAATCCCCCAAAGTTATTATTACTCCACTCAAAAATATGTCATTTCTCATTTATAAATATACCAAAAATACTTAGATTAGCACTCCCCAACTCAACATTTTAAATTCACCATATCAAAGAAAGGGAGAGGGAGATTACAAAAGATGAAGAAGAGAGAGCAGAGAGAAAAGAAAAAGAAAGACAAGAAAAGGAAAATTCCAAGCCTCCTAATGAAACGAAGAACTGACTGGCTGTGTCTGCTCTTACCTGCGATCCTCTGATTTGGGGATGGGGTTGGTGCAGCGTTGGCTGTTATACTTGGCCACATATTCACATTGCTTGAAGGGGGCAGTCTTATCCTCCAGAACGTGTCTGATACAGAAAGCGTAGCCGTTGAGTCGCCGCTGCTTGCACAGTTTGGGGCTATATGAGCACAAGGGCTTATTGTCAACCTCAGAGAAGTGTATATGTTTCCCTTCATACATCACGTGACTCTATTCCTTGTGAACATCAGCTAAAAGGCCACCACAAAAAAAGAAACCCAAATGATCAATCAGAGAGAATAATGCAGATGTTTAAGTTGAGAATTTCACTGAGGGACTTCTGGCCCCACAGCCATACCTGATTTTAAATCTTCTGCACCATAGCAATGTTAAGAGAACCCCAAGGATACCACAGTTTGGAATGCTGCAGAATCAAGATGAAGCAGATTGTCTACAAAAATATCAAAAGGCCTAGTTAACAAATAGAAATAAGCAAAGCTAGCTCACCCAGGAAGTAAAACAGTATGAGAACACTCTTACTCATGTGGTGGGTTCTGCATTGTATAACAATACAACTTCCCAATAATAAGGTCAATTAAGAAAATAAGAGGCATTATGAAATACTGTTAGCTTACCCTCCTTCCCCAAGTTGAAATAAGTAACATTTACTCTGGTTAAGTTTGTAAATACATCAAAGTAGCAGAACTCTTTCACCAAATGAATGTCACAGGTGGCTGGTCCTTGTAATAACAAGTGTTTGCACGCTATCCATATTTTCAGGACCCAAATCCCTTTACAATGCCAATGCAATGCAATGACCAAAAACGTCCCTCAGGTATTCTAGAATTTTTGATATGCTAGCAAAATATTTGGCAAACTATTAACAAATGTTTATGTGAAATGCAAAATAGGGCAAATTCTAGCCTTAAAAACAATGTTATTTTCTTTCTACTATTCCCCCACACCTACCCTACCTAAATGCGATAGATACACTTTGGAGTTTACAGACTGATCACCTGAGCACAATTACAAGTGATATTTAGCTCTCCTGAATGTTCCCAATCACCTTAAATCAGACAGTGATCGTGACTTATAATGTGAGTCTGGAGTTTCAACAAGGAAATAAAAGAAAGTACACAATATAAGGGGGTCTTCAAAAAGTTCGTGGAGAGCATATATCATGAAAACACTATGCATAGAGTTCAAATTTTTTGTGCCAAAACAAACTCATACTTCAATTAGAAGGATGCTTCAAACTTTAAAGTATAAAGTATTTTAAAGTATACATTAAAACTCATACTTTTCAGGGCATCCCCGTACTCAGTACCCACCTACATGCAAAAAGCCTAGGAGTAGCATTCATACACAGATGTTACTCAATTTAAGATGAGTATATGTTGAAAATTGTAACTTAAACCACAGTAAGCAGGGGACAGCCTGTATTATAACACCACAGTCTACAATGAAACTGAATCTTTTTTACAAAGTCAGGATCTCTATGAGCTGATGCTGTCCAACCCACACTTCCAAAGTCACTGATGGGACAGCTCAGATGCCAGCTACCAAAGTCACAAAGTATCCTCTCCTTTGCCAGTGAACCACAATATACAGAAATGTTGAGGAGTCAAGAGACACGGTTGTTCCAAGTCTACAATCTGCCACTCATTATGGAGTCGTAGGAAGAGTCATGACATGTTTTTCTATGCTTTTCTACGCAAAAATGCATAATGACTTTCCCAGCGACCTTGAACAAATCTTAACCTCTCTGAATCTGTTTTCTCAGCTGTAAAACAGGGATAATAATACTGGGTTGTCGGAAAAGTCATGACATATTTTTTCTATGCAAAAACTGCATCATGCCTTTTCCGACAACCCAATTGCTCTAAGGACCAAATGATACAAAGCATGCAAGATACTAAGTATCGGGACCGGCAGGTGGTATGGTGGTTAAGGACATTGGACTCCCAGATGGCTAACTGCAGTTGGAGTCCCATACCTGGTGGCTTGTTTTCTCACTTTCTCTCCTCTTACTCTGTCCCTCTCTGGTCAAATTAAAATAAATAAATAAAGTTAAATAATTCTTTTTTAAAAAGATACTAAGTATCATGTCTAGTACTACTAAGTCTTAAATAAATGTTATTATTCATAAACGTTCACTCTTATGACATACTACATTACACCTGCAAGTGATAAAGGTAGAAAATGTATATTTCCTTTGAGAAACATTTCGCCTATTCTAGTAAAAACAAACAAACAAAACACATATGGCCCTGAAATATTAGTTAATAAAAATCACATTCATCACTAATTACACATCAACGTAAAACAAAAATAAGAGCTTTCTCTTTTCATCTTATTAGGATGTAAGAAGAAAAGTCAGACTAAAAATTTAAATTTAGCTACCCTGAAGGTTTGGATGCTCAGGACAAAAAATATTTCAAAGCAAACCCATGCTGTTTCTCATTTTTACACTCTCCGCTCTGTTCATCCACCTGGCAACACATAAATCTTTCACAAACTAGTTAAAGTAAATCTATATAAATTTCAGAGAAAAAAGTACCTTGAATGTAAGTAAGTTTAAAAAGTAATTTACAATTAGTTTGACTGTTTTTCTATGAAAAAAGAAACCAACAAGTCTATATGTTTGAGAATATTTTTTTTGAGAGACTTTTTGGTATAGGGCACGTGTGCTCGCCAGACAAACAGAGAGAGACAGAGAGACAGAAAGCGAGAAATCACCCCCCAGAGGGGATGGTCACGCCATAATCCCTTCTCCTCCATTCTCCTCTCGGGATCTTGGGCACGCACACACACGCGCCTGGAGTGAGTTTTAAGCCACCGGGTCCGGGACGCGAACCGTGGTCGACTACGTGGGAGTCCAGCGACATAGCCATTACGCTAACTGCTGGCTCCCTGTTGGAGAATATTTTTTAAATCATAGAAAGAGGTCTGCAGGCAGGAATGATGGGATGGATATGAAGGACAGTATTCACTTTTATACTCACACATTCTAGGTATGCAATTACATCCTCTATCAGGACTGAAAGTTCCCAGGGTCAAATGGTGGTACAGTACATAAACAATACTCTGCAAGGTAATCCCATATGGGAAGGTTCCTGGTTCAAGTCCAGAGACCTCCCTGAGTACATAGGACACACATTTCCACATGACCTGGTGCTAGTCCAACACTAGGGTGGGTCGCAGCATGGGCCCCCATTGGCAGCACTGTTTCTCTCATATGTGCACACACATGTGTATTTATGAAAGATTTACTGGGAACCAACAGTTAGTGTAATGGCTATGTCACTAGATTCCCACGTAGTCGACCGCGGTTCGCATCCTGGACCCGGTGGCTTAGAACTCACGCCAGGCACGTGTGCGTGCGTGCCCAAGATCCCAAGAGGAGAATGGAGAAGGGATTGCGGCGTGACCATCCCCCCTGGGGGGTGATTTCTCGCTTTCTGTCTCTATGTCTCTCTCTGTCTGTCTGGCGAGCGCACGCGCCCTATAGCGAAAACCTCTCACCAAAAAAAAAGTATTTTTACTTTTTTGCTATAAGGCATGTGCATTCCCCAAAGAAGAGACAGATAGAGAGAAACACGGAGAGAGAAAGTGAGAAATCACCCCACGGGTGATGGTCACACTACAATCTCTTGTTCATTTGAGATTTTTGGCAGGCCTGCAGACACATGCACCAGGAATGTTTTTCAAGCCACTGGGTCCAGTACTTGAACTATGAAGTTGGCCATGTGGGATCCAATGCCTTAACTGTCAAGTAACCTGCTGGCCCAGAAATAAATGTTTTTAAAACTTTTTTTTTTTCTTTTTTTGCCATTCAGCACAGGTGTTCACAGGTGAGGGGGAGAGAGAGACAGTGAAAGAAAAAGTGAGAAATCATCCCTGGGGCGTTGAGGGGGAATGGCCGTAGCTCAATCCCTTCTCTTCCATTCTCCTGGGAAAAGATTGATAATTTCTCCTTTCTTTCCAGTTTTTCATGCATTTCCCCCCCCCCCACTGAATTGGCTACAAGTGCAAGAAAGATGGTTAATAACAATGACACACTGTTACTCCTAAATTCAAATGAGAACTGTTTCCAGTCAATGGGAATAATGCTAATTTTTATCTAGAGACATATTTTCTACTACATAAAGGAAATATCAAGTATGTCATAATTCCTATTTTATTAAGAGCCGTTTTGGGGACTTGCTTTGTAGTCTAGTGGTCAAAGAGCCAGATTTCATGTGGCTGACTGTGCAGTTTGAATCCTGCGTCCCAGTCCTAGAGACTTGAAAAGCAAATTGCTGGGCATATGCACATGTGGGCCCCAAATCCCAATAGGATGGAGAGTAGGAGAGGGATTGCAATGCGACCTTGCCCCACTGGGAGGTGCTTGCTCGCTCGCTCGCTCTCTCTCTCTCTCTCTCTCTCTATCTCTCTAGCAAGCACATGTGCCCTCTGGCAAAATAAATAGTAAAAGTAAAAGTCTGAAATTTTTAAAATTCAGGATTGAAAATAATTTTTTTAAGTTTTTGCCAAAGGACCCATGTGCTTGCCAGAGAGAAACTGAAATTGCTCCCCAGGGAGGATAGCCACACACAATCTCTTCTCCTCTCTCTCTCTTGGATTTTGGTTACACGCGCATATGCACACAGAATGATTTTCAAGCTGCTGGGTCTGGAACTCCAGCTACAGTCAGCCATGTGGAAATCCAGTGTCTTCACACACAGCCTGCTAGTGGCAGAACTGACCGTTAATTTTACCTAATTATTTTTCTGCATCTAGGGTGATAATCATTTCTCTTTTGTACTTTTTAAAATATGGTGTTGGGAGACAGCAGATGGCATGGTGGTTAAGGGCATTGTACTCCCACATGGCTGACTATGGTTCAAGTCCCAGGCCTGGTGGCTTGCTTTCTTACTTTCTCTCTCTCTTGCTATGTCCCTTAAAATAAAATAAATTTCAGTAAAATAATTCTTAAAAATAAATAACTATGGTGTTGGGACCAGCAGGTGACATAGGAGTTAAGGCTCTGGACTCCTATATGGCCAACCCCTACTGTGGTTCAAGTCCCAGATCCAGGGCTTAAAACTCATGCTAGACATGGGTGCTCATTACACTAACTGCTGGTCCCAAAATCTCAAGAGAATGGAGAAGGGATCTCAGAGTGGTCATCCTGCCGGGGGTGGTTTCTCGCTTTCAGCCCGTCTCTCCAGCGAGCACATGTGCCCTAGTAAAAATACTCTCAAAAATAAATAAGGTGCTAAGAGAGCCAGAAGGTGGTATGGTGGTTAAGGTGCTGGATTCCACATGCAACTCTATGGCTCAAGTCCCAGACCTGGTGGCTTTAAAAACACACTGGGTGTGTGTGCATAATTGCCCAAAATCCCAAGAGGAGAAAACAGAAGTGACTGTTATGACAGCAGCACCCCTCTCTTTGTCCCTCTCCAGCAAATAGACATGCCCTATGGCAAAAATCTGACCCCCCCCAAAAAAAATTACACACACACACACACACACACACACACACACATATACATACACACAGTGTT